TTTCTTTCCTCTCGCCTCTCCCTCGTCTCTTCTCTCTCTCGTCCCTTCTCATCTGTCTCCTCGCTTTAACTCTCTCCTCTCCCCCTTCTTCCTTCCCCTCTCTCTCCCTCTCTCTCCGCCTCTCTCTCCCTCCCCCTCTCTCTGTCTCCTCCCTCTCTCTACCCTCCCCCTCTCTCTCCCCTCTGGTTCTTCTCTCTACCTCCCGCCTCTCTCCCCTCCCTCTCTCCCTCCCCTCTGCTCTTCTCTTTCTCCTCTCTCTCTCTCTTCCCCTCTTCTTTTCTCTCTCCTCCCTCCCTCCCCTCGCCCTCCCTCTCTCTCTCTCCCTCCCCCTTCTCTCCCTCCCCTTCCCTTCCCTCTCGTGTCTCTCCTGTCTCTTGTCTCTTCTCTCTCTCTCTCGGCCCCTCCCTCCCTCCCGTCCCTCCCTCCTTTCCTCTTCTCTCTTCTCCCGGTCTCCCTCTCCCTCTCCTTCCCTCTCTCCTCCTCCCTCGCTCCCTTCCCTCCCTCCCTCCTCCTCCTCTCTCTCTCTCTCTCTCTCTCTCTCTCTCTCTCGTCTCTCTCGTCTCTTCTCTCTCTCGGCTCAGGCTGGTTTTGAACTCCTGACCTTGAGCAATCCGCCCGCCTCGGCCTCCCAAGAGCTAGGATTACAGGCGTGAGCCACAGCGCCCGGCCTATTTTCCACATTTTAAAAATGATATTAATGAGTTTATAATAAGCTTAAATAAAACACCTTTTATAACGTCAAGAGAAAAAAATCACAATATAGAATTCTCTGTAGCATAAGATTATGATTATGAGAAATACTATCTCAGAGAAAAAAAGACTTAGAAACACAGAAGTGTCAGAAATGGTTGACTCTGACCAGTGAGGTTACGGGTGATTTTTATTTTCTCCTTTATACTTTTCTCTATGTTTCTTTTTTTTTTTTTTTAACAAAGAACTCTTGTGACTTTTAAAATCAGAAAAAAATCTTTCAAAGATATGTCATACAAATAGTAGAGCAAAAATGATGATTAACTGTTGCGGTTGTCTGGTATTTCAGAACAGGGATCAGCAAACGTGCTCTGTGAAGGGGCAGACGGTAAACACGTCGGCCCCGCAGGCCACACGGATCTGCCACTACTCGACTCAGGAGCACGGGAGCCCCTGCAGACAGCCCCTAAACAGGCGGGACGGCCACGTGCCGATAAAACTTTACTTACAAAACCAGGAGGCCAGCCTGGATCATTTTGCCAAATCCGACTTTAGAAAGCAAAAGAGTCCTTTCCTGCATTTGTCCAGACGTTTGCACTTGCCCTGGGAATGAGGAAAGAGTTTGCCAAGCAAATGGGCTCTGGTGAGGGGGCGGGCGGGGTGAGTCCGAAGTCCAGGGCTGTTGACTGATAACCAGTGTTTCACGTTTACACCAGCACTCTATCAAAGCCTGTGTGTCTAGCAGATCCACTCATTAGTCACTCATGTTTGTTTATTAAAAATACTTTCACTGGCCGGGCGTGGTGGCTCACACCTGTAATCCCAGCACTCTGGGAGGCCGAGGTGGGAGGATCGCTTGAGCTCAGGAGTTCGAGACCAGCCCGAGCAAGAGCGAGACCCCGTCTCTACGAAAAATGGGAAAAATTAGCTGGACAACATGGTATGCACCTGTAGTCCCAGCTACTCGGGAGGCTGAGGCAGGAGGATTGCTTGAGCCCAGGAGTTTGAGGTTGCTGTGAGCTAGGCTGACGCCACGGCACTCTAGCCCGGGCAATAGAGCAAAACTGTCTCAAAAAAAAAAAAAAAAAATACTTTCACTGATATTTTATCAGCTTGAATCAAGTTACAATAAATACTATAGTTCTTTAAAAAAAACTTTTTTTTCTGAAGCCTCTGAGGCCTGACATGCCAGGCGAGTTCCCACACGAGAGCCGCACGCGCGTGCCATCGGCCCACGGTACCTTCAGGCTGACGTCCGTCCAGTAGATGTGGTTGTTGGACACGTCGAAGTCCAGCGCGGAGGCCTCCTTGACGCCCGTGAGTGGGATGGCCACGTCGTTGTTGTTGGTCTCCAGGGAGATCCTGTGGATGGCGGCTCTGCTGGTGAAGACCAGGAAGGCCTCGGGCACGATGCAGGTCTTCATGTCGCTCAGCAGCTCCAGGCCGATGGGGCAGCCGCACCGGGTCGCGCGGGGCGTGAAGAAGCACAGGTGGCTGCACCCGCCGTTCCCGTCTGCGCACGGGTTGGTTCCTGCGAGCAAAAGCGCAGGCGCTCAACACCAAGAGCCCTGGGGAGAGAGCGGTGAGACCCAGCCACCGGGGCGCCCGGCTCCACTCCCACCATGTGTCAACCGGGGACAGTGGGTGGGGCGCTGGGAGAAAGCCCCGGATGATGGCAACCGGAAGTTCTCCCCAGGTACGGCCAAGTGGCAGTGACAGTAACAGCAGCAGCTCTGACTGGGCCTTGCCACGAGCCAGGCACTGCTCTCCGGGTCACCTGTCTCAACTCACTCCGTGGGCCTAGCAGGTACCAGTTATTCTCACCCCCAGTTTTCAGTCGAGGAAACTAGAGTCCAGAGAAGCTGCTGGGGCAACGCCGGTAGTTAGCACCGGTAGTTAGCGCCCCAGCCCCGGCGGCCAGCCCTAGGTGCAGCGAGGCCTCCAGGCAGTACCTGGCAAGTCGCCCCTCCCGGCCTGCTCCCCTCCCGGGACTGGCTCCCGAGGGTCCCACCCATGTGCTCCCTGCAAGTCACGGACATCCTCAGCAACCCTGAAAACTCGCATTCTCCCAGGACAGTCATGGGTTTCTTTTCACGAAAGCAGACAGGAGGTAGCGCGTTCGTTTATTTTTGTCCAGTCTGTTCATCTCACTCATCTCCCAAAGCATTAAAATTGGCTTTAATTTAGTGTTATATGTTTAAGCTTAAAAAAAAAAGAATCCTTTCCCCTGTCTCTCTTAGTAAACCATAAGATGGCAGGGAGGGGGGAATTTCTCGCCTTTAAATCACAGCCCTGTGGGTGCACCCTTTTTTATCTCTGGGGTTTATTTTTTTGTTTTTTGAACAATCACTCATAGTTGAGTCTCACTCTCCACAGTGGATAACGAATGTGTTTTTGTGCAGTTTTTGTTTGTTTGTTTTGAGACAGGGTCTTGCTCTGTCGTCCAGGCTGGATGGTAGTGGCGCCACCATGGCTCACTGCAGCCTCCAACTCCTGAGCTCAAGCGATCCTCCTGCCTCAGCCTCCCAAAGTGCTGGGACTACAGGCATGAGTCACTATGCCCAATCTAAACGAAGTGTTTTTAAAGGTGGCTGATACTGGGGAGCACCAGCTGCCCTGAGGTCACCTGCCCTGCCTCACCTTCAGGCCTTAGTTCGGCTGCCCCTTCGGCTGAGCAAGCCCTGCCCCTACCTGCTCCCTCAGTTCCAAGCTCAATTAACTCCCTCGAGTTTTAAAGCCAGGGATGGGCTGGGCGCGGTGGCTCACGCCTGTAATCCTGGCACTCTGGGAGGCCGAGGCGGGCAGATTGCTCGAGGTCAAGAGTTCGAAACCAGCCTGAGCAAGATTGAGACCCCCATCTCTACTATAAATAGAAAGAAATTAATTGGCCAACTAATATATATAGAAAAAATCAGCCGGGCATGGTGGCTCATCCCAGCTACTCAGGAGGCTGAGGCAGGAGGATCGCTTGAGCCCAGGAGTTTGAGGTTGCTGTGAGCTAGGCTGACGCCACGGCACTCACTCTAGCCTGGACAACAAAGTGAGACTCTGTAATTAATTAATTAAATAAAGCAAGCAAGCCAGAGCCGTCTCTGACATCACGGGCGTGGCCGTCCGACTGGCAGGCAGCACAGGTCACTCGGGAGTCTCACCCACCAGACCTCGGGTGACTTGGCGGTGAGCACTGGGTCCTGTCTGTCCACTCACGCGTGTGTCCAGCAGAGATCTGCTGGGCGCCCGCAGCAGGCCGCCATGGTACCAGGTACCAGCCCCCGCCTGGCAACAGAGCCCTGCCTCGTGGCGCAGCCCCCTCCCACCCCCGGACGCCGATCTCTCCGGTGTGACGTGCTGGCCTGGAGTCCTTTTCAGAAAAGACAAATCGTTGTGTCCAACAGTGACCTCCTCAGTGAGCTTTCTGCAGATCCTGGCTTCCAGGTAAAGGTGGGAGGTGGGGTGTGTGTGTGTGTGTGTGTGTGTGTGTGTGTCTGTGTCTGTGTGTGTGTGTGTGTGTGTCTGTGTGTGTCTGTCTGAGAGTCAAGCCTGGCCACAGTGGGCAACAATCCCAGCCCGGCCCAGCAATGAGGTCAAGGCAGACCCTGGGCTGAGCCTGAGCTCAGCACCACGATCTGCGCAGCTTTACATCCTCTGCCCAGGCGGGAACGGAGCGGTGACTGTATTAGCACATGGGGCTGCTTTGGGCACTAAGGCCCTCAGCCAGCACTGGTAAACAGCAGGTGCTCAATAAATATTAGCCACTATTGTAACAATTACTGACGTTCCGAGTCCACAGCCACTACCTGGTCAACATCCCTGGTCCACACACCTCCCCCATTCCCACCTGTCCTTGGCCAGATATTGTCACCTTTTCCTGCCCTGCCCTGCCCCAGGCGGGGGCACCCCAGCTGGACACTTACGGGTCCACGTGTACCCCTTACTTCTTCCTTGTGCCAGTCAGCAAGGATGAGCCACGGCCGGGGCCTCCCCGACTCACCGATGACCTTGGCCACGTTTACCGCCTTGAGCCCCATCAGGTCAGGCAGCTGGTCGATGATGACGTCCCGGCTGGCCTTGACCTTGTGCACCCGCTCGATGCTGCGGCGCTGCCAGTCGGTCCAGTAGATGAAGTCCCCCAGCAGCGTGAACCCGAAAATGTGCGGGAGCTTGTCCTCCAGGAGGGTCCGCCTCTTCGTGCCGTCCATGTTGATCACCTGTGGGATGGCAGAGACGCGGGTCTGGACGGGCTGGGGCCCCGCCAGTGAGTGCCAACCCTGACCGCCCCCCCAGGCCTGGGCTCCCAGGAGCCTCTGCTGCGTCTGAGCTGTGCCGGGTCCCAAAGCACACCAGGTGTCTGGCTCGTCGGGGATGCTGGATAAATGACGCTTTCGTCATGCTGCCATGTCTCTGGATGACGGGGCAGTGACGGCGCAGTGGCGGGGCCAGCTCAGGAGCCCTTCCCCCAGCCTCCCTGCCTGGGTGGGGACGCTGTGCTGGGACGGGCGGCACAGCGTGAACGCGAGACTGACCCAGGCGCTGGGGGTGGGGGGGTCCCCAGGTCACACCCACCACGCAGAGTTGCCAAAGGCCAAGCAACAGCAGGGCCCCAGGCCAGTTTCTCCCACTCCCCTGTGAACCAGTTTCCTGCTCGGTCAGGACCAGATGAGCTCTGAGTGCACCTCTTGTTCTGCGTCTAAGATGATTTCCACCCTGTCTGCTCGGAGATGTGAAAGCTCAATCTTTTTCTCGAAAAGCCAGTGCTGATTAAGAGCGACTACCGCAAAAGCTACAGAGGAGAAAGTACGGTCAAACATAAAAATGCCGCAACGAGCCGAAACACACAGACACGCGGCGTAAGACGTGGTTCTGACGATCGATGATCCGGCAGAAGCTTATAAGCTTATGTTAAAAGGAAGAGTCGGTGGCTGGGTGCCAGGTAATCCTAGCACTCTGGGAGGCCGAGGCGGGAGGATTGCTCAAGGTCAGGAGTTTGAAACCAGCCTGAGCAAGAGCGAGACCCTGTGTCTACTATAAATAGAAAGAAATTAATTGGCCAACTAATATATATAGAAAAAAATCAGCCAGGCATGGTGGCACATGCCTGTAGTCCCAACTACTCGGGAGGCTGAGGCAGGAGGATTGCTTGAGCCCAGGAGTTTGAGGTTGCTGTGAGCTGGGCTGATGCCACAGCACTCACTCTAGCCTGGGCAACTCTGTCTCAAAAAAAAAAAAGGAAGAGTCGGTAAAGACACCACATCCAAGCTCTCAGGCTAGGATGAAAGAGACACAGAGCCATCGCAGGCAAGCTTCAGCAGGCCCCTGCAGCCAGACTGCAAATCCGGCTCATCAGAAAGGCTATAGACCCTCAGTTTTGCAGGTGGCAAAAACATAAGACGGACTGAATGCAGGCTGAGCAGGGGGGACTCTGGTCCTCTGTTGTTGGACGACTCAGGACAAAACTCCTGGGTCAACAGGGTAAGGTGGGGCATGTGGCTCTGGGCCGGAGCGCAGCTCTGCCCCCTGCTCTGCGTCCTTGGGCGGGTCCCTGCACCCTCAGGGACCTAGTCTCTCCACCTGTAGCGAAAGGATTAGACCAGCCCGGGAGCTGCAGTCGCCCAGGGGACCTCACAAAACAGAGCGCATGGCCGGGCCCCAGCTGCAGGGATTACATCAGAACCAGAAGGCCCAGGCACCAGGGCATTAAAGCAGCCCCATGGGGGGGGAGTCTGAGGGGCCAGCCAGGTGCAAACTCTCGGTGAGCCCAGGCTGCACCGGTCCTGGCAGTTCCAGGGAGCAGCGCACGGCAGGTGATGGGCCCTGGGTCCCAAATGGTTCAGAGCTCTTGTTCCAGTTTTGCCTGTCCCCAACAGGAAGGCACACAAAGGCAATGAACGCACACCCCACTGCACGGCAGATACCCAGAGAACACCCGAGAGGCCGGGCCCGTCCCCGTCCGGGCAGCACAAAGCCACACCAGGAAGCACCTGGCCCCAGTGCACGGCGAGGAAGCACGGGCGGGACGCCAGCGGGGACCCTCGTCCCTTCCTCCGCTCACGGGAATCAGGGCTGGGGAGCTGGGACATCAATGCAGCGCATGGACACGACAAAGAAAATAATCCCCACCTAGAAAGAGAAAGGACCCCAAGTTTCAATCTACCAAAAGAGTAATGTATCTCTTTGATTTTTCTCTTCCTATCCTATTCACTTACTTTCTTAATTTTAATAACTCAATTTCCAGACGTGTTAAGTTGAACTGAGCTGAGGGAATCCACCTCTCCCGGCTCCATCCACAAACAGTGAAAAGGAGCCCAGAGGACCCAGTGAGCCGTGGTGACGGGCGCTGGCTGGCAGCCACTTCTCTCTCCCCTGCCCCCCGCTCCCTGGCTGCCCCTAACAAAGTGGGGGAGGCCATCAGCTGCTCCTTCCAGGC